AAAATAAAATATTGTCATTATATTCACATTTGCGACATTTTAGGATAAAATAAAATTTGATTGACAAAATGGTGTTAAAATAGTATTTTTTGTACAACATACAATTGTATCTTACGTCAACAATATCTCGCAATATTTTAAAATTAAGCCAGGTGACATATCGTGAAAAATGATATTTGTTATCTCACAACGTATCTATTATATCAATAATTTCATTGGATTTGAAAAAAAATCTCCTCATAAGTATAAACACATTTTGACACAATTGCGTTTTACCTTCAGTTGCAAATTTATTAGCTTCGCGCTTACAAATGCAAACAATTTCATCGGATTAAAAAATCACTTCTGTCCTTATATACAGGTATTATAACAATACATGGAAATTAGACGACACTACATGCGACTATGCTCAAAAGTATTTATGTTCTGCTTAAGCGGTAAGTATCATACAAACTGAATAATTATAAATAGTTATAAATAATTATATGTGAAAGTCTTAATAAATCTTCTCTTTACTCGCGCCCACATTTGTTGTAAAATTAACTAAAATTCTTGAAATTGATTGTATAATGTATTTCCGGCTAGGCATCATGTTAAATGAATATTTTTAACTGTAGAGCTACCAGCCATCATTGGGGCGCCACTTATATCTGGCATCTGAATAGTTTCCTCGGACATATAGAATGTATAGTGGAAAATAAAAAAAATAGTACATGAAACAATTGAGCATAATGATAATGACATCTTCGAGATAGACACTGTTTTACTTTTGATTAATTGTAGTCTAATTAATTGTATTGCTGTAATTTTTTTAATGCAGTTTGAAAAAAAATAATATTCTTATTTGATACTGAAAGTAGATAATTATATATTATATAACTAAAATATAACTATATTGGATGCATAATGACCTGATATTGAAGCAAACATCCGATTTGTTGTTCTATGAACCAATACAATAATTTTTTAAGTTGTGAACAATTTGTTTTGGTAGGTAAACTGAAAATCACTTTTTATTTCATTTTCATGTCTTCAACGCAACCTTTTTGTGTATGGTAAACACGGCATGATTTATTGTTCAAATTACATCTTTAAATCAAAGTCTTAATTATTAATTCTCTTATTGCAGGAAATCGCCGAGTCAAACATGAAGTGTATCTCATTCATGAAATCACTCCGCAAATTATATTACTGCAATCGCATGCCTCGTAAATAAATCGTACGTGTAGTTTAGTTTCATTCCTAATGTTATTTTAGTTTATTATTAGTGTTATTGCATGCTATAAAACTTGTTGAATTGCTGGAAAATAAATTATCTAAAGCATAAATATTGAGTCTTTTATCGTGATAGTACCACAGTATTAAAGACCTACAGTCTGTTATGAGTTGAATTATGTTGACACATAATTAATGCTTCTCATGTGACCCACAAGAATGCGTTGCGACAAATGTGACACTTAAAATAAACTTGCTAAATGTCATAGTATTCTAAATATCAAGACTGAGCTGTGGGATTAAGCAAATTTGTTGTCTTCATTGTTTTTTATGAAAAAATAGGATGCCAATAATTAAACGTCGATAAGTAAACTCCGACAACATCAGAATCCACAGGCAACTTTACGATTGCGAAAAAAAATGGTACAACATAGCCAATTCAGGGAGAGATTCGTCAACCAAGAGGTGGCGAGCGTATCCTGCTCTGTTGCAGCACCCGCCACACACCGATACTGCAATATGAATCACAAAACCGATCGTTGACAATTGTTTTACAAGTAGGACGTAGTGTGCAGGAAACACACACTGCACTTACACTAGGAAGATATCATGTAAACCACTTGATTACTAGTCAGAGAACATTTCCAGCTTTAAAATTCCTCGCTCTCCTTATAAAATTGCTTACAGTTCTACTAATTACTTAGGGGTACGTTATATATTATCCACCAATAACTATAAGCCATTGAATGATCACACAGTTTCTCATCTCGTCTCTCAAGGGCAAGTCTTGCAGAGACTTACTGCAGTATATTTTATGAAACACCATGCATGGCACAGTTATAATAATATAGTTGGAA